TCACGATTTTTAATTCAATAATTTTTATTGGTGTAATCTAAATTACAAAACAAAATAGTTAACAAATATAGTAAAAAAAAATCAAGAATTTATATTAGGCATTGTAATATGCTTAATTTAAAAGAATAAAAAGAAATAGAGAAAAGAGGAGGAAAATAAAAGAGTCCAACGCCCTTTCTCTCTCTTGGTTTAATTTGAAAATATATAAAGTAAATAACTCGTCTACTCCCCTCTCAAATTTTTACTACGTACTAATCAATTAAGAGAATTTTTGCACCTCCTCACAAACTCAACATGAAGAGTTTTCTTTTCTCCCTTAGAAAACACACACCAAGAATTGCTGGAGTTGTTGCAACTATATATATGTATTAGAGATTTCTTTCCTATAAAACAAGCACCAAGAATTGCTCTGCTGCACTCAAGAATTTTCAGTAAAGTTATAAAGTTACTTTGTAAGTGTTCACAAAATCCTATGGTAGCCCCAAAAAGCCAGACAAGATAAGAGAAAACACTCCGTATGCAACTATATAAAGGGTCCAGAACCGACTCCTTCCTAACCACTTGCGTTCCTCCAAACCCCACCACGACCACAACACCAAAAACCAAACAAACCTCGTAGAATCACATCCATGGCGTCCCCTCATTATCATCTTCTTCAATTCACCATTTTCTTTTTCCTTTTCCATCAGAACCTCTGCTTTGCATCGAAACAAACACTCCTTTTGCCTATCAAGAAAACATTAGGGCATTCTCACACTCGTGCTTCCCTGTTTTCCTCAGCGGCCGCCAGCAAACTCCCTTTCCACCACAACGTGTCTCTGACGGTTACTGTCTCTGTCGGCTCGCCCCCGCGGCAAGTCACCATGGTGCTGGACACTGGAAGTGAGCTGTCTTGGCTTCATTGCAAAAAAGAACCCAAGTTGAATTCCATTTTTAATCCTCAAGCTTCTTCTTCTTACATACCCATCCCCTGCTCCTCCCCTGTTTGCAAGACCAAAACCCAGAACCTAACCAACCCCGTATCTTGTGACGCAGAAAAGTTATGCCACGCGGTTCTCTCCTACGCTGACGCTTCCTCCATTGAAGGAAACCTCGCCTACGACACCTTCGTCATCGGATCCTCTGCTCGACCCAGTACCATATTCGGCTGCATGGACTCGGGTTTCAGTTCGAACGCCGAAGAGGATGCGAAAACAACCGGGTTAATGGGCATGAACCGTGGGTCACTATCTTTTGTGAACCAAATGGGTTTCCCCAAATTCTCGTACTGCATATCGGGTTTTGACTCCTCAGGGGTTTTACTTCTCGGCGACGAGAATATTCCGTGGCTTACCGGACTAAACTATACCCCTTTGGTCCTAAGGTCCGACCCGTTACCGTATTTTGACCGGGTTGCATACACGGTTCAGCTTGATGGTATTAAGGTTGGAAGCAAAATGTTACCGCTACCGAAATCCGTTTTTCAACCGGATCATACTGGGGCGGGTCAAACTATGGTTGACTCGGGCACTCAGTTCTCGTTTCTTCTGGGTACGGTTTACACCGCTTTGAGAAACGAGTTCATTCAACAAACAAAGGGAGTACTAAGAAAGTTGGAGGATTCAACATTCGCGTTTCAAGGGGCAATGGATTTGTGTTTCTTAGTGGATTCAACTCAGACGAGTTTACCCGAACTTCCTCGGGTCAGTTTAATGTTTAGTGGTGCCGAGATGAGTGTATCGGGCGAGAAGTTATTATATCGGGTGCCCGGGATGATGAGGGGTAAGGATTCAGTGCATTGCTTCACATTTGGCAACTCTGACTTGTTGGGGATAGAGGCGTTTGTGATTGGGCATCATCATCAGCAGAACGTGTGGATGGAGTTTGATCTGGTGAAGTCAAGGGTCGGATTTGCAGAGGTTAGGTGTGATCAGGCGGGTCAAAGGCTGGGTATACGTGCCTAAGAGTGGGCCCAAAAAATGTAAATTACAAATAGCTTACGGGTCAGGGTTTTGGTGTTGTCTTTGACTTTTGCAACGGGCCCTACTTTGTCCAGTTCATGGCCCTTCTTAGGGATAGATATGGACCATCTATCGTACAGTGTGGTTTTGATGGGCTTAGTCCCTACTCCTGCTAGTTGAGAAGGAGTATTTTCAAGTATAAGTGAGATATGGTAAATATTTAATATTTGCTTTGAAAAATTTTAAGTATAATTGTTTAAACTTTTTTTTGATTAGGGCAAGTGGTTAGGGTATGGGGCTGGGGAGTGGGGAGTGGGATCGAACCCTTATCACGGTGAAAAAAGTTTACATTAAACTGTTGAGTCATTAGATCGACAGGCCTTTTTCAGTATAATTGTTTAAACTTAATATTTACTCAAATACTCAAAAAAGCTATATTTGGTAGTTTATTCAACAAATATCAAGTAACATGTGGATATATATTTGT